TTTTTTTTTTTTTTTTTTTTTTTTTTTAGTAAATACTTTATTACAGTTAAGAGAACCATGCTGGCCATGAGGAATGGAGAATAAAGAACTGCTTCACTATAGATAAGCTTCTTGGGGTATTATTGTATAATTTTTAAATCATTAGTTTGGAGAATGAGACAATATATAAAACTCCTCCAAATTTAAACCCCTCACAGGCCTGAAATTAGGAATCCAAGTATACTGATGCTTTAATTAGAACATGAGAACTTGAGACAAATTTTCCATTGTCTTCATTACCGTGTATTAGTTATGTTGTCTTTAGGATCATGGGCAATATCCAGTATACATAGTTCAACTCACCTACACCCTTAAAACACAAATGGTGATCAAGTAAGCCAGACAAAAAGGAGTTCCTTTCTCTGTTTGCCTCCTCCAATGTTTTCTTCCCTTTCTTCTATAAGCACAACAGACCCCCCTCCCCCAACTGCCCAATGGCTCCATTCAGCACTACCACCATGTCCAACTTTCTATTTCTCATACTGGATCCAAGCAGCTATGGACATCAGAGCATACCTTTGGTGCCATGTCTCTCTTCCAGCTCACTCTCTCAGCTGGTCTCACAAGAGACCCTGGAAGGGATTTACTTCCTTCCCTTAAACCTGCTCTCACTGCTATATTCATGGTTACTAGATGCAAACCCTAAAACTTCTCTAAATGGATATTAGATGATATTACATACTTATTATTAATTTGATGAGTTTGATAATGTCGTTAAATGCCCATGTTTTTTGAGATGCATAATTAGTATGTAGAGGTAACATGGTATGAAGTTGGGACTCCTTCCAAAATACTTTGACAAACAAATAAAAAGAAAGAGAGAAAAGAAAGGAAAAGAAAAAAAAGGAAGGAGAAAAAACAAAAAAGGAAGCAAATGTAAAGTCTAGACAAATATTGATTTTGGGAGATGAATATACAGTAATCTCTACTTTTGGATGTATGTGAACATTTTTATAATAAAAATTAATAAAAAGTAAAACTTCTCTGGCCTATTACAATTTTTACAATTGAATGTGAATAATTTAAAATTCATCTGGGTCACTTTTGAAGAACACAGACCAGAGTTTATAATTTCTATTAACTGGGTAATATAAATCAGTGAAAGTGTCCAAAAAAAAGGAATTAAAGGAACATGCATGCAGGTGTGTACATATAAGCTCAAGTGTTCTATGCACTTGCTTCAGAGAGGGGTGCTTAAGTGTCCCACTCCAGGAGCTACCAACGGTAAAGTTGCCAGAAAGGTCTCCTACAATATGTTTTGCATGAACAGGTTCTGAAGTAACCTGTCTGAGCCAGCAAGATAAAATGCATTCTTGGTATCACAAATTAAAATCCTGCCTGAATTTCTTCCGAACCCCCACTTCTGCCCTTTCATAGCTGCTTAACATAGTGGTTAGTGTTTGTGTTATTATTTGGACAGTGGTATTCGCCATAGATCCTTACAGGCTGGGCTATGAATCTACCCACTGAGAAAGCATAAGTTCATAGCAGTTAACATAAAAATTGTGGAACTTCAAACTTTTAGATCTGCATGCAATGTCAGCACCTACCTTCTCTGTATTGGTACTTTTGGGGAGATATTATTACCAAATAAGTGCCAGTTTTATGCCAAGGACTCAGCTGGTAATTCACAGACAGAAAGAGAGAGGGAGACAAGCAAATAGATATATTTTTGTAAACGTGCAAGGATGCCTCTGCTTGAAACCTGGGAACACAAGACTGATATAATTTTTAAAAATAAGATTAAAAATACAGTGTGCAGGAGTTGGCTGGAGGCTTCCTGGGCCCTGGCTTTCTGATTATGTCATTTAGAATTTCCCTTGACTGGAAATATACGTTGCACAGTATTCGGGGAATAAAATTCCCTTTGCTGCCCTCATTGTGTAATGCTTTCTCCTGGTTTGGTAGAGAAGTTCTAGGAGAACTGGTTTGGTTTCATCTGAGAATCAAAAATTGCAGAAATAATGCACAATGATCATGATATCTTTTATCTCTGAGAATCACCACCCCATTCAAGCCCAGTGAACTAGCCCTCATTGGTCCTCTGCATGTGTTTGAGTTTAGTCTTCGAATGAAAATTAAGGGAAAAATGGAAAAGTGAGAAAGACAGCAGTAGGAATTTCAGTGAACCATTCATCAGGGTTTATGATTTCTGGTCTTTCTAACCAGAGTTTCTGCCCATAAGGGATCAACCAACATTTCTATTTTTCTCCTCCATTGATTATGGCACCTGAATGATATGCCTCATTTTACGTGTGTTGCAGGACAGGAAATGTGGTATGCATTAGATTGATAACCTGCTGAGTTTAACTGAATGATTCAAATGGCTTTTTAAATTTTTATGGATGATAAGGTAATCCTCTTTAATACCTAGCCAGAAAACATGTTAAAGCTGTTGTCACTCAGTTCAGTAACAATAATGATAAAATTGCTACTGAAACCTACAAATTAAATCTATTATGAGCAAAATACAACCAACAAATCAGTCTGTTACCACAGTTTCACTTTGTTGGCTGTGCTGTTGAAGTGGAGAACTGGGATATTTAGAAAGATATTTTTATGACTTGGGACATGGTAACTTTTTTCTTTTCTAAAAATAAACTTTGTGCATGTAACATTCAGAATACAATCATTCTCAAACAGGAAGTTATCCAAAAGAATATCATCAAAGAAGCCCTCTGAGAACTCAGGGTTCTGCATGCAACCCAAAATAACACATGGATTCCAAAGTAATGAAATAGCACAGACTTTCATAACATTCAAACCTAAGATCCTGAATTATTTTCCTGTATTAAATTATATAGGTACTCTAATTTTGCTTGTTAAA